TTTTGAAAATTTGACTAAGTGTTCTAAGGCATATTTAAGCATCCTCATTACATCTTAGGCATTCTTAAGCCCTAATTAAGACATGGTAGTGAGAATAAAGATTAGAAACACACCCAAACAAGAAAGAAATGAATTAAATGAATTCTGAGCGTGTGTTTCAATGTGTATCCATTCTGTGTTTATGTAGGTCACGTGCCGTAGGCTATCTGGTTATCTGCCCTATTTTTCTTCTTTATCTGCTCTGTCTGTATGCTATTGGAGCCAATTGTGAGTAATCACTTTGTAAATCTATGTTCACTTATAAGTATTTTTTAAATGATATAAGATGATCTGTTTTCTGAAATATTATTCTTTGCATGAATGAATTGTTGTCCAATGTTTCTGAAATGTGTTTGTGGCATCATTAGCTTCAGATGACATCTGTTATCTGTTCTATTATGTCCCAATTATGGGCTAACTGTACGTCTCATGAGCCAACTGTTATGGTCGATACCGACTATACATGTGGGTCCCAGGACCAATTTGATATGACAGCTAATGGATGTACCACATATAACTGCTCATGACTTCTAATTAAGTATATGAATCTAAATCTGTTTTCGATACGTACTCAGATTTCTAAAACTGTTTGGACATCATTCATAAACCCTTTACTTTATTATTATTCACTAGGCTCCAGCTCATTCTATTATATATGTATGTAGGTGATCAGGCGCGTGACCAGGCCTAAGTTGCTGCCTGGAGTTTTGTTTGGTCAGCTCGCCACATTGCCTCCCGAGGAGGTTCCTGTTTTGCAGTGGTCAAGTTTTGATGAACCATGTTATGAATCTTTTGTATTTATTTTGTTAAGTTTGAACCTGTCTTTTGTTCGTTTGTATGTATAGATGGTGATGTGGGTATGACGTCTTAATTATGTAAATTAAGTTTTAAATTTTTTGTTCCATGTACGTCTATACAGCTCTATGGACATTATTTGTTTGTATTTGCTTCTATTAGCCCCTGTATTTTGTTTAATTTGTTCAGAGGCATTTGGCAATCACAGGATTACTGGCCGGTTACGGCACTAAACCTATAGGGTGCTCACAAAGTCATAATCAAATCAGAATTCTAATGATTTATACAAAATATCATGATTTCCAACAATATTCACACTCCTCATGAGTCTTGTGAATCTCAACTGAAAATATACAATTTTTCCAAAACTACTCATATGTTTTCCCACAAACCATCATTTCAAAAGAGTAAATAATACTCGGTATTTTTCTAATAATTCGAAACATGTCTCAACCAAACCTCATTTTAACCAAAATCCCACAATCAATTTGATTCCATCTTTTTCCATAAAAACACCCAAAACCCTAGTTTTTTATTAACCTTTGGAAACCCATTAAAACTAAGTTCTTTCTCAAAAATTCATAACTTAACAACCACTAGGTTACCAATCCCAAACCATAACAAAAAACAAGCCTCTTTTCCCAAATTTGTGCACTAATAAATATATATCCAAATCCTTTTTTTCCTTTTCTTTTTTCAAAACCATAACTAACAAAAATAACATATAACGAAGCTAAAAAACATGCACACCATTATGAAAATCCCTACCTCGGCGCCGAAAGAGGAGAAAGCCCAACAACCCCAAAACTCAACGTTGACGAAAGTACGAACCTTTTAGATTAAAACGAATCTCTAGGTGAGCTCTACCTTTTTCTCCAAAGGACAATGGTGGAGAAATCGACGGATGATGGTGTATTTGAGGTTTAAAGGTGAGTTTTGAAGAGGGAGGGAGAGTAGATTTGGTTTTTTTGAAATGTTTAGAGAGAGAGAGAGAGAGAGATGAAAAAGTGATCCAAAAAGTAATTTTTAGAGACTAATATATGTGCAGACCGCTCGAGCGATCAAAGCACCGCTTGAGCGAACACACATAATAAGTGAGACCGCTCGAGCGCACAATGACACCCTTCTAGAAGTTTTGTAGACAGAGGCTAACTGCTCAAGCGCAAGAATGACCGCTTAAGCACAAGAAACACCGCTCAAGCGAAGAACACTATCCTTCCAGTATCTCTGCAAACCTACAAAAATACTAGAAGTTCTCAAAGACCGCTCGTGCGACCAAAGGACTGCTTGAGTGAACTGACCAAAATCTGGGCAATGACTCTTATGAAAAACGAACTCCCAACCTGTTCCGAACGCAACAATAGCATCCAAACAACCAAACTCAATCAAGAATAAGACGATTAAGGATGTGAACAACTAAATAAGACAAGGAATCCGGATTCAAAACAATAAATGAGTTGGGTCAAAACTAGAATTGTTACACAAATAAAGAATACTCTATTTTTTTTTATGTAAAGTTAATATAAAGTTTTATATCACAATTTTAAAATAAATTTTTAACAGTAAGTCTTATTAATAACATTATACATCATTAAATCTTATTTTGTAAAATAGTTTTCACAAGAGTTTTTAAGATTCAAAATCTATTTAATTATGAGTTTTCAAACTAATTTTGAGTTGTATATTTTATAAATAATTTTTAAAATTTTAAAAATTCAAAACTTGTTCGGTTATTTTGAATTTTTTTGAGTCTTGTGTTTTGTTTTATCTTGTAGTCAAAAAATTTTTACAATTTTATTGTCAAATTTGTTTACTTTTCACATACTTCATCTAAATTTACTTTTTAGATACATCTAATCTAATTTATAGGATAAAGTTTCACTTCATATTTTTTATGGACGTTTTAAAAAATTTAATATTTCTTTTTCTAGTTTTATATCCACTCAATCTACATATGTTTAAAACGTTTCACATTTAAATGTAGCTTTTTATAAAATTATTGAATAATGAGAAATATATAAAAAAAAATTAAAAAAATTGATCAAGTTTAAAAATTAATACAATTTTAATGTTTTATGTATTTATTATTATTATTATTATTATTATTATTGCACTCTTCACATTTTGCTTGCGATTTGGGTCCGTTTGTTTTGGGTTATAAGAGATGTGATTAGATTAGAATAGATGTGGAGTCCACTAATATTGTGTTTGTTTATAAAATTAGGAGTAGGATAAGCCTCCATGGATGAGATTTGTAGAACCTCATGGAGATAATATTAAAAAAATAATCTCTTGAGATTAGAGGGGGATTTACTGTTTTGCCCTCTGTTATCCTAGGTAATTTACTTACACTATTTGATTAATATGGTCTTTTCTCTATCATTTTTGTTAATTATTCCTTCATTTTTTACTCCATCATTCTTTATATCAAAATAATTTAATATAAAAATATAATAGTATAATAATATTTGTACCAAAAAAATTATATTAAAAAAATAAAATAGTACCAAAAAATATATATTTATGAAATATAATTTTTAATATTAAAATATAATTTTAATAATTATAAAATATATTTTTAATATTAAAATATGTAATGCATTTATTAGTTGGTATAAGTCAAAATTTGATACTAATGCAACAAGAGTATTTGTGGAATTTTACATAGTTAATCCCACTCTTATCTCTCAAAACAAACATGAATTATTGCTAGTCCACTGGTTATCAAATAAACACAAATTTTCTTAATCCCCTCGCTAACAATTTTCTTACTAATCCCCTCACTAACAATAACATCCAACCTATCTTTGAAAACAAACGACCCTTTGAGTCTATCTAGGTCATGAAACATAAAAAGTTATTTAGCCAGTTTGTAAAACTAAATAAAATCAATTTTGTAAAAATCCTAAACCAAATAAATTTTGAATTTTAAAATAATTTTTCAAAAATACTAAACCAAATAAATTAGTATAAGTTTCAAAATGAGTTTTTAAAAATTCTACTACTAAACTAAATAATTTTAAAATTTTAGAATAAATTTTTTAAAATCTTAAACCAAATGAATTTTAGATTTTGAAAAATTGATTCAAAAATTCAACTAAACGACGTTAGACCATCTCCAACGCTGAACCAAAATTGATATCAGATTTAAATTTTGATGAAAAATGGCCTTTTCCATGCTCCAACCGTTGCATCAAATGAATATCAAAATGAGAAATCAGCAAAAAAAGTATCAAACTGAAAACAAGTTCTGCATTTTACCAAATCACTGTTACGGACCGTTGAAAGAGATACATCGGTTGCCCGGCCGGTTGCCCGGCCGGTTGACCAACCGGTCAACCGGTTCCTTTGAAATAACTAGGTTCAAACCAGTCAAAAAAGGTTCAAACAGGTAAAAAAAAAAAAAAAAAAAAAAAAAATTGCCCAAACCGGCAAAAAAAAATGTGCAAAAGAAAGGTTCAAGCAGGGGAAAAAAAAAAAAAAAAAAAAAAATTGCTCAAACCGGTCGACCGGTTGGTCAACCGGCCGGTCGACCACCCGGTCGACCACCTCCCCAAATCTGCTTTGATGCTCACCGTTGGAGCGCCTCGTATCAAATTGAAAAAATCGTCATTTTTTTCGACAGATTTGATGAAAAAAGAAGTGTAGCGTTGGAGATGCTCTTATTCATTGACAGATTGTACGGTACACACAGGGGCGGAGCTATGCCTTCAACAGTGGTGTCAATTGACACCACCGAACTTCAAATTTTTGATAAAATATATAAAAAAAGTTATAAGTTGTTACAAATTGAGCTGAGTGGGCCTAAATAAAATAAATTAATTTTTATACTTTTATAAATTGACCTCAATAGGTAAAAATAAAATTGAACTTTATTTAGAAATTTAAGTTATTTTTGTCAATGTGATTTAGGAATAGAAAATGAGTTAAACCCTTTTGACTCCTCTTTTTTGATTGGCTAATTTTTTTTTTTTTTTTTTTTTTTTTTTTTTTTTTTTTTTTTTTCCTCCAATCGCCATCCGTCACGTATATATGTATATATGAGATGATGATTGGAGGAGTCTCAATCACTACCTTTTAGAAATATATGAAATTCACAGAGTAGTATGTGAATATTATAAAATTGAACTTTATTCAGAAATTTAAGTTACTTCTGTCATTGTGATTTAATATATGAAATTTACAGAGTATGTGCAGAGCAGAAAGATTATGTAAACTAAAAAGATTACTGTGTACACAGACACCCCGGCTTTCCTCTTATTTTCATCTGTCTCTCCATCTACCCTCGACGCCAAACCCTCCCTCTTCCGCCACCATCAACGCCCTCATCCGTGGTTTGCAGCTACTAATCTCTCTTTCTTCCAGATCGGAATCATCATCTCATAGGTACTCTCTCTCTCCCTCTCTCATCCTCTCATCTCAGTTCTTATTTTTCTCACAGATCTATACTTTCCGGCTCCCCTCCATCTCTCGTGTGTAAATTGTTTGGAAATTTTCTCAATTGTTTTTTATTTTTATTTTTTATGTATGCATGTGTGTGTATAGATTTTTCAAATGGACTAAAATCCACGATGAGATAGGTTTTCGATCTCTCAATTGTTTTTTTTTTCTTCTTTGATTGTTTACAAAAGGCCATTAGTATGTGTTTGTATGGAATATTTTGTTGCCTAATGAAGTTTAGTAGTTCTGCAACTAATTTGAGTTACTAATGATCATGTTGTGTATTTTTGTTATTTGTAATCATGGTTCATGATGATTTTAGAAAATAGGTTTTCTGAACCCCCAGAATACTTCAATCAACCCACCATTTTAGAGGATTAGGTGGTGGTTTGGTGTGTGGGAAAATTCCCAACTTGCCAGAGGGCTATTTGATCGAAAATTTCCCCCCAACCTGACTCATGCACATCCCTTCTTTCTTTGTATCTAAAGAGCTCTAGGCAAGTCTTCCTAAAAAAAAAATAATAATAATAAAGTCATTAGAAACCCAAAAAAATTAAAAATTATGGTTTAAGCATGTTCCAATCAATGCCTAAAAAACTTCTTAGATCCACACATCTGTTTAAAGTCAGTAGTACCCATACCACATTAGAAAAACCGTTGAGACCCACGCTACTACTGCCCATCATCCGCTAGCAATTATGTAAGGCATTAGTTGTAGAACAAAGCTAGTGATTGTTGAAGCATGACAATAATGCAGGGTTGCTTCACACTTTTTTTTTTTTTTTTGAAATAAAAACATATAGTAGTTAAAAGAAAATTACAATTACTAGAGGATTAGTCCCTCACAATAGCAACTCCAGTCATATCATCAATGACTAGAGCTCTAACTTCTTCTGGTGGCTCTAAAATTACTACATGCTCATCCTGGGCCACACCCATGTTTGCCAGCTTATCTGCAACTCTGTTACCCTCCCTAAGAATGTGGCTGAGAGAGCAATTACATCTTCTCAGGAGGAATTTTGTATCTTCAATAAGGGCCTTATGTAGGGAGATACGTTTTGGGCCATTTTGAATTAGGATGATGGCTTGTTCAGAATCTGTGTCAATCTCCACATCCAATTTGCCTTTCTGAAATAGGATTGTAATGCCCCTGTTGCCCCATAGTTCTGCCTCTAAGCTTGAGCAGTGACCTAGTTTGCCATAGTAGCCCCATATCTAGGTGCCAGCTTCATCTCGCTGTAGTCCTCCATATCCAGCCTGAACGGGGTCACCTTTAGAGCATCCATCCATGTTGAGCTTGAGTTTACCTGCAGATGGAAGACACCATTTAATTAATCTAGGTTGGGATGTATGGGGGTGGAGAGGGGATTGGAAAGCGTGCTCTCTTGAACATAATTCCTTATGCTCTTGAAACTAGTTTGAATGGGGTTAGCTATGCTTTCAAAAACCAATTTGTTGTGATCCTTCCAAATCTGCCAAAGAGTTACTACAAAAATGAGGTACCAATTGTTTCCAAAAATTAGATTTTTAACTCTCATATTAGAAGAAACCCATTCAAAATGAGGCTGTCCACATCCTTGCTCCCACCAATTGTGATTCATGATTTCAGTCCAAATTTCTTTGGATTTAACACAGTCCCTGAGGAGGTGGCTCATATCCTCATTGAAAAGTCCACATCTAGGACATGGATTAGAAGATGCCATGTTTCTTACGAGCCGCAGATGGTTAATGAGCAGTTTACCTTTCAGAACAAGCTAGAGGAAACATCTTAATTTCTGGGGAATTTTAACCTTCCAAATCCATTTCCAATCTCTGCCGTCCCCTTCATGATCAGTAATGATTTTACAGGCAAATGCTGTAGAGAAGTTACCATTTGAGGATCCAATCCAAGATGGGGCATCAGTGTAAGTTACATACCTAGGTCTATAGATCCTGTGTATATCTTGGAGGTCTTGTTGATTTACCAGGTTAGCAAGCATAGCAGTGTTCCAGTTCCCCTCATCATCGAGGACAGAGCTAACCTTGTCAAGGTCATTAACTTGTAGGATGTGATAGGTTTGGGCTAGGGTTGTTTCCCACACCGCCAATCATTCCAAAATGAAATATAATCACCATTTCCAACTCTCCACTTAATACTTTTTCTAAGTGTGTTTCTATTCTTACAAATACCTAGGGTTACTTCCTACCATCCGTCACATAACATATCAGTCGACAATTAAGATTCAGGTAAAGGTTTTCTCTTCAGTTTTTGAATCTTCTGATTCGGGTGTTATTGTTGCCAAAACTGAAACTATGCTACTATTGAGCTTAGATAGACAGATGCGAACGTTATGGAATTTCATGTTGTGTTCTGAAAATCATTTTTTCATCTTAATTTACAAGGCTTAAAAATGCAATCAAATAATCTGATTTTGACCATTGACTCTGTGTTTAAAGGTTTTTCGTCTTGATCAATGGGGCCATTAAAACAGTTGCTGGGCACAAACAGACTGGTGTGCTCAAAGTTATCTATCGTTATCTGTATATTATATGTGTATTAGTGTCTCGTGATTTTTTCCCCTTACTTTTAAGTGGCCACATTACATATGTTGGATTTTATATGATCGAATTTTGTGCCACTAAAATGTTACCATAAAAAAATAATTGGTAATTTCAAATGCATAGGAAAGGTTTAAATTTGTTAATGTGTTTTGAGTCCAGGGAATTGTTCATTTCATCTGTTAAAAAAAATAAATTTTTTAATTTTTTGGTTGGGAAAATTAGTTTAAATGTTGGAAATCCTATGTCTCCGTTGCCTTTTTATTTTATTTTTTTTGGCATTTGGTTGGGGGCAGAGGTGGGAGCTAGGGGTGCGTTTTTTTTTTGTTAAGGATTGAGATGTAGATTTATGGACATGGAAAGCTTGACTGGCCATCCAGGTTAAGAAACACTACTACTTATTGAGAATGTTACGTATCTGAGTGATTAGATGAATTAAAATTCAGATATATTTTGTGCATTGAAAAGACTTTAGACAAGACTTTGATAGATATTGCACATTGACATATGCCACGCAGTAGTATACCGGCCTAAGACTGAATCCTATTTATTTCATTATGCATTTCAATAACAATATAGGTTACGAGGCAACCTGTGTGTTAACACAGAAAGGAATGGGGTTGAACCATTCACTTGATGTGTTATGCTTCTCTTATTCTAGTAACCAAAAATGTTGTATTTAAAGAAAATTAAAACAAGTATCTTCTGTCTTGTCTGTATTTTGGAAATATAAGCAACCATGTAACAAAGGCACCTCTATTCTTAAGTTTTCAGGATCTCCAATTAGTAGGGATTAGTCTATTGCTAATGTCTGAAATATCAGTGGACAAATACCAAAGTGTATGATGTAGCTCAAGCCTCAAGTGTGTAACTGTCCATAAACGGGAGCTTTTAGTGCTTAGAGTGCGCTGGTATTTCTCTTTTCACTGTTAGATCCATCCCATTATGTTTTCCAATGGCATTCTATTTTTTGTTTTTTATTTTTAAATTCTCTTGCCTTTAGTTCCCTCCATATTCATGATTTGGCACGAGGCACTAGTTCAATGATATTATCTTTTTTTGGTTCACTATTTAAAAGCTTTTCTTCTAGTATTCCCAGGAAAATGATTTACTTGTCTATAAGTGATTACAAACGTTCAATGTTGCGCTGCTTTTTAACTATAATTTTTAATTATCACCTTTATTTGTTTGAGCTTCTTTTAGCATGTTATGTAATGGGTTTGTCTTGACAATCTGATCTGTCACTTTCTTTAGAGGAAGCATGGATGGAGAAATCTCTAACATAAAGAAGTGGATCATATTGTATCCTATTTACATAAATTCAAAGAAAACAATAGCAGAGGGAAGGCGAATAAGCACAAGCAAAGCCTGTGAAAATCCTACTTGTGCTGAGATTGGTGATTGTTGCTCTCATCTTAAACTCCCGTTTGCAATTGAGGTTTGTTGTTTTGAAATCTGCAATAATCTTTGTCAAATATTTGATTGCCATTGACAATCCCCTTGTCTTATCTTTTCTAAAGCGAATCTGGTGGCATTGTGATAATGGGTGGATATATTTAATTATTTACATATTCTGTGGCATGATTTGACGCAGCGGAATACACGGGGATTAGATATCGTTCTAGTAGACGAAAAGAGCTCTCGAATCCATAAGAAAAATAGAACCTTGAATCCACAAGGAATGGAAAATATCTTAATATTATTGAATAGAAGTTGAATAAAAATTGTCTTTGCCATGAGGTTTACATAGCTATTTATAATAATGTAAACCTTGGAGACCAAATATTCTTGGACACCAAGAAAACTCAAATTAGGAAATAATAAACTAATCTAATTCTTGGAAAATAAGAAACCTAAGAAATTAGAAAAACAAAATCAAAACAAATTAAGAAACCTAATAATTCTAAAATATTTATGCTAAATTACAAGAATTCTAATAAAATAATATATCAAAAATATTAAAACTAAAAATATAAAAATTCTTAACATCTTGTCCTACATCAGACTCCTCTTCTTTGAAAGAATTCATCCTCGAGTTCAAATTAGAGATCTGCCATCGTTCATGCCAAATAAAAAATACTTAGAATACTTCAGTTGTTTGTCACTCTTCCAAAAATTAAATGCAGAGAAGTCTACTTTTAGAAAGTTATTCTCCATATGCTTCAACTAGTTGACAAGATCAATTAGACAAGCATTGTAAATCTCCACACCAAGAAAATCAACCACATTTAGTAGTTGTTTGGAATGTGCTATATAAGTGCACTTTTTGATTTTTTGATTAAAAAAATAGAGAAAAAAATATGTATGTTTGGGATAACTTGAATTTTTACGAAAATATGTGTAATAAAATATTGTAGTAAAATCAAAATGACAATTTTACCCTTTTTGACTTTTAGACTTTTTGGGTAGTTGGATTCAAAGGGCAAACGTATAGACTTTTTAGCTTTTTTTTAGTAACGTTTTGACTTTTTTACTATTTTAGTTTATCCCGTACATATCCTTACTTTATGTAGAACTTGCATGCTCTCTTGATGTTGCACCATCCCAAATTCAATTAATCATTCAATTATCAACCTTGGAATATCAAGTGTAGCATCAACCAATTTCTTTGTTGCACGTAGCGGTTGTATTATCTCTTCTTCTATTTTTTCTTTGTTACTGAGCTCAATCAAATCTCCTTCTTCCTCAATATTTTTATGATTTGTTTGTAAAACTTTCTCTCAAATATTCAAATTACCATGTGTTGATGCATTATCAACACTCGAACAAGACTTTGTATGTTCTTTATTAGTTTTACAAACAATCTCATCATAAATAATATTTGGATACGAATTCTTTTATTTTGCAACTACAATTTCATTGCAAATTTTTACCAACTTCATAGAAGTATATTGATTTGTATATGATAATATATCTTCATGATCATGAAAATAAAATTTTATTGCTAAAAACTTTTTCATTATTAACCATAATTGAATTTTGTCTGTACCTTTACAAACTTGATAATCTTGTAATCCATTTCACCACTTCAATGCACTTTTATCAAGTTTTTAGGATGCAAATATAATATTCTTTTCATGAGGAATCTTCATGAATTAAAAGAAATTTTCAAGATCAAGTAACCAATCAAGAAAATCTTCTTTTGGAAATTTACTTGAACTGTTAAAATATGAATTTTTTGCAAAATAACATAAGCAAATAGGTTGGCCTTGGGTGAATCCTTCAGCGCAATTGTTGTCAACTATTGGTTGCCTTTGGTTGACGATTAGTCTCAAATTGGCAAGTAGATTACAAATCTCATTGCGAAGTTCATGCACCTTTAGCCGATGTTCCTCAATCGCATCCCATATGGCTTCCACCCTATGATCAATGTCAAAAGGGATTGTGTGTTCTCCATTGTCTAGTGTCATTGAGCTAGGTGAATCTGTGCTCTGATACCACCTGACGCAGTAGAATACACGGGGACTAGATATTGTTCTAGTAGACGAAAGGGGCTCTTGAATCCATGAGAAAAATAGAATCTTGAATCCACAAGGAAGAGAAAATATCTTAATATTATTGAATAGAAGTTGAATAAAAATTGTCTTTGCCATGAGGTTTACATAGCTATTTATAATAATGTAAACCTTGGAGACCAAATATTCTTGGACACCAAGAAAACTCAAATTAGGAAATAATAAACTAATCTAATTCTTGAAAAACAAGAAACCTAATAAATTAGAAAAACAAAATCAAAACAAATTAAGAAACCTAATAATTTTAAAATATTTATACTAAATTACAAGAATCCTAATAAAATAATACATCAAAAATATTAAAAATAAAAATATAAAAATTCTTAAAATCTTATCCTACATGATTTCTTGGTGAAGATTGATACGGCATGCATATCCACGAGATTTCATGCAACAAGGAAGGGTGAGGGTATTGCTGAAAAATGAGGATGGAACTTTCTCTGATCCAGCCATTTCTTCAAGTAAGGATAAGCTTTATTAATATGAGTACCATTAAATTTCTCATTTTGCTGCTATTCTCTTTGTAATTGCATGCTAAACAACACAGCATTTATAAAATGTAACCTTCCTGCATAAGATAAGAATTTATGAGTCCATGATTTCATTCAAGCTGTAATCCTTTCCACCAAACTTGAACAGTCCGCAGGCCTCAACGTAGTAGAAATGAGAGGTACCACAAAATATTGATTGGTAATATACCCCATTGAAAACCAAAACACCAGTGCAATGTTCTCTTTGTCTGGTCAACAACATTTGAACTGAACGGGTTACTTCTATTAACAGTTGGCTGCAAACTTGATAAAGATGAAAAAATGTCTATGGCTTTCTTGATCACTTTTACAGAACTCATAAGCATAGGTGAGTTATAATCTTCGTTTTCCCACACCTCCAATTATGCTGGAACTCATTTTATTGACAAGAATATGAAACACATGAAGTTAATGAATTTCATTGCCATGGGTGTCTGATCTGAAATGTAAATTTGGGTTTGAAACAATAATTGAACCTCATGACTTTAACTTTGCAGTATCTTGTTTATTTATGTTGCGATTGCTTGCAGGGAAACAGCTAATGCTTCGCATAGCAGAGTTGGTACCCAGACACCCTGGGAGGACCAAGAAACAGGAGCCTGCTGCTGCATCGACCTCGGGTGCTGTACCTTCAAAATCTGGGAAAGGTGGAAAAAAGAAGAGATAGCTTCACTAGTTTGTGTTTCTTCCCCGTTGTCAGTGTTAGGCCCTAAAATTTCTACATCAAATATTTTGTTTTTAAAACCCTCCGTGTTTTTTGTTAGTCCCATTTTTTTTTTGTTTGGAATATTTAAAGATACTTTTTTTTTTCCCTGAAAAGAGCAGCCACACTTTTGTGGGGATAGAAATTGTGGTAGTGAACTAGTTCAAGGAAATGCTTGATTAACACTTAATGGTGCAATGTGTAAAATTATCCAGTAATCTTGGGAACATGCTGACATGGTGCTTCCGGATCAATAAGAACAATAGTCATGGGATAAATGTTGTGGCTTGATCCACATCGTTGGATGATGGGAGACCGGTTGCGTATGAGTTTTGGGCATGTCAAAAGTTTCTGTGACAATTTTCAGCATGTGCATTGGCAGTAAAGCTTGTGCACATCTATATGCCTAGTAAGTCTTAGATCTGGTAGATCTCTCTCAAACAACAATATTTTAATTATAGGAAACGAGCTTTGATCGCGGGCTGATGTTTGAGGAATAGTTGAGGGTATACTTCGGATGGTCTTGGGGTTATGTGG